GCATACTTAGGGTTAGTGATTTAAATGAGCACTTTACCAAAAGTATTACATTCAGGCACACAACATGTCTCGCACTGTCAGTATAAGACATGAACGGTGCCTCCAATCATGTGTCTGACTTTTATCAGCGATTGGACACATTTTTCTAAAGGCTGTTAGAATGAAATGGTCACATGATTCAACACTCACGCCATGTGGATATGAGGATAGCCTTCCCAAAGAAAGGTTGGATTGGTCACAAATTCCTCCTGTGGACAGAACCAGTACGTTAGTGTGTGTGTGTGTGTGTGTGTGTGTGTGTGAGAGAGAGGGAGAGAGAGCGAGAGAGAGAGAGTGTGTGTGTGTGCATGGTAAGTGAGTGGTGATGTCCCGCCGTCTCACATTGGTGAGGATGCTGACGCCCCAGATGAAGGAGAACAGGTAGAAGGAGGCCAGCTGTCCCGACTCGTTGAACTTGCTGTGTTTGGTCTTGGACAGGTGTAGCCGGCGATTGATTTTCTAAGAGAAAGGAATCGGGTTACTGCCATTTGCGTCTGTACACACACGCCATTCGAATTGGTTTCAAGACTCTTTGTTATACAAAACTAGTCTGGCAAAGGCTTACGGCCTGAAATGGCAAGAAGTCAAGGACAAAATCACAATATTTTTGCATAAAATATAGAAATGTGCACAACACGTCGTGCATTACAGTTGTGTAACGCACACCTAGACATGGATTATCCCTTACTTTTTTAGCAAGGAGCAAGTTACTAAAAACTCTCATATAAATGTTGTTTTAAACTTTCTATTCATTAAACAATCCTGAAAAATGTATGGTTTTCACTAGAGATGCAGGATATATGGTATCGGCAGATACAAACCCAATTCCATAAAAGTTGGGACACTGTACAAATTGTGAATAAAAACAGAATGCAATGATGTGGAAGTTTCAAATTTCAATATTATATTTAGAATACAACATAGATGACATATCAAATGTTGAAAGTGAGACATTTTGAATTGCCATGCCAAATATTGGCTCCTTTTGGATTTCATGAGAGCTACAAATTCCAAAAAAGTTGGGACAGGTAGCAATAAGAGGCCAGAAAAGTTAAATGCACATATAAGGAACAGCTGGAGGACCAATTTGCAACTTATTAGGTCAATTGGCAACATGATTGGGTATAAAAAGAGCCTCTCAGAGTGGCAGTGTCTCTCAGAAGTCAAGATGGGCAGAGGATCACCAACTCCCCCAATGCTGAGGCAAAAAATAGTGGAGCAATATCAGAAAGGAGTTTCTCAGAGAAAAATTGCAAAGAGTTTGAAGTTATCATCATCAACAGTGCATAATATCATCCAAAGATTCAGAGAATCTGGAACAATCTCTGTGCATAAGGGTCAAGGCCGGAAAACCATACTGAATGCCCGTGATCTTCGGGCCCTTAGACGGCACTGCATCACACACAGGAATGCTACTGTAATGGAAATCACAACATGGGCTTAAGAATACTTCCAGAAAACATTATCAGTGAACACAATCCACTGTGCCATTCACCGTTGCCGGCTAAAACTCTATAGGTCAAAAAAGAAGCCATATCTAAACGGGAACCAGAAGCGCAGGCGTTTTCTCTGGGCCACGGCTCATTTAAAGTGGACTCTAGCAAAGTGGAAAACCGTTCTGTGGTCAGACGAATCAAAATTTGAAGTTCTTTTCGGAAAACTGGGACGCCATGTCATCCGGACTAAAGAGGACAAGGACAACCCAAGTTGTTATCAGCGCTCAGTTCAGAAGCCTGCATCTCTGATGGTATGGGGTTGCATGAGTGCGTGTGGCATGGGCAGCTTACACATCTGGAAAGGCACCATCAATGCTGAAAGGTATATCCAAGTTCTAGAACAACATATGCTCCCATCCTGACATCGTCTCTTTCAGGGAAGACCTTGTATTTTCCAACAAGACAATGCCAAACCACATACTGCATCAATTACAACATCATGGCTGCGTAGAAGAAGGATCCGGGTACTGAAGTGGCCAGCCTGCAGTCCAGATCTTTCACCCATAGAAAACATTTGGCGCATCATAAAGAGGAAGATGCAACAAAGAAGACCTAAGACAGTTGAGCAGCTAGAAGCCTTTATTAGACAAGAATGGGACAACATTCCTATTCCTAAACTTGAGCAACTTGTCTCCTCAGTCCCCAGACGTTTGCAGACTGTTATTAAAAGAAGAGGGGATGCCACACAGTGGTAAAAATGGCCTTGTCCCAACTTTTTTGAGATGTGTTGATGCCATGAAATTTAAAATCAACTTATGTTTCCTTATGTCGCCTTATGTCGCCTTGCTTTGGCTTGCTTTGAGCTTGCTCAGTTGGGGTTATTTAGTGTTTAGCAATGTTGTTGATCTGTGTTGTGCTACTTACATGTTATCACTGTGAAGCTGCTTTGATACAATCTGTATTGTGAAAAGCGCTATATAAATAAATGTGACTTGACTTGACTTGACATGTTTCCCTTAAAATTATGCATTTTCTCAGTTTAAACATTTGATATGTCATCTATGTTGTATTCTAAATATAATATTGAAATTTGAAACTTCCACATCATTGCATTCTGTTTTTATTCACAATTTGTACAGTGTCCCAACTTTTATGGAATTGGGTTTGTATATGATCATTTACAATGTTATCATTATCGGCACGATAAGAAGATTTGTCCGATATATAATGTGTTATTTCCTTCAGCTGAGACGCTTCAGATGCGCAACGATCAACATGATGCTTTTAAATCGATTGAAATATGATTGAAATCAATTAAAATACAGTTCAGTGCAACTTGTTGAGAACTTTGTTTTTGTATTCAGACTCTCGAATTTATATAAAAAATGTGGATTTACATTTATCGGCCAATCTATCGGTTATAGGCTTTCAAATATAAAGAATTATCAGTTATCAGACAAAATGTTTCTATTGGTGCATCTTTAGTTCTCTCACACACACCTGTTTTCAACATTAATAATAAATGTTTCTATTGGTGCATCTTTTATTCACTCACACACACACACACACTGTTTTCAACATTAATAAATGTTTCTTGAGCAAATCAGCATATTGTAATGATTTCTTTAAAAAAATGTGTCACAATACTACGGCACTGAGTAAAAAAGTAAAAAAGTTACTCACATCGAGGACGTACTCCTGGATCAGGGCGTGCAGGATGACGGCGATGAGCAGGTAGAAGAACACCGTGGCGATGTCCCGCAGGCCGTACCTGTAGAGGTTCATCGGCTCAGGCTTGTCCTCTGCATCTGAAGCAATCAACACGACACAGTGAACACCGTGTGCTGCTTTAAACACACACACACTCATGTGCACTCGTCAGGGGTCCACACAGTGCAGCTCGTCTAGACACACTTCTCACTAACGGGAGGATTAGCAGGACCTGTGATGTCCTCGTCACTCACACTGACATTTCTTATCGGATGAGGGGAAACTGGGCGAGGGGTGAAAGGTCACGGCAGCAAAACACACTCCGTTAGCTGGAAAAACTGTATCGTCTGTAGACTCCTCAGAAAATACACTTTATTAAAAATATATATATATATATATAAATATTTTTATGGTCACTATAATGTGTGAATTTACACTTGCACTAAGGGTGCGTTTACATACGACGATGAACTAAAGACTGTTTCGTGTAAAGATGACACTGTGACGACACCCGTTCACACGGGTCTGCGGGAACAAAAGCTCATTTAAATAAATAAATAAATCATTTTTAAAAAGCATTTTCTGTTCCAAGAGATTCATTCAAAAGCGATTCATCCAGTAGTGAAACACGTGAAGCATTTATGAATCATTCAAACCGATGTTTTTCAGATAATTTATTGAAATGAATTAAGCATTTTTAAAAGACTCAGAATTGCAAGTTTATATCTCACAACTTTATTTTAACACAAAATTGCGACTTTATATCAGGCAATTCTGAGATGTGAACTCGCAATTGTGATTAAAAAAAGTCGCAATTACTGTTATTATTTTTCATCCTGTGGCGGAAACAAGCTGTCATAGGTTCATGATCTCAGATTGAAACAAAAAACAATCATTTTGACTTCATCCAGAATTGTGCAGCATTTCCACACTGAAGTGCAGACTGACAGAGAAGAGGGACGAATGGTCATAAAATTAATCAATGTATATTTGTTTTAAGATATCTTTAAACGAAAAATATGTTTATTTTTAGGTTTATACGCAGTTAAAAAAATCTATTCTTTTCAGGTCCATATGGTAAAAGCACGTTTTTTCTTCTTCTTCTTTTTCCATTACCCGAGACACGAAGCTCCCACTATCACCCTCGACCCACGTCCCAGTTTTGTTCCCGAACCAGTCTTGGGTTTTCGGAAGAAAGTGGACCTGTGAAGACTTCTAATCTCAGGAACTAGAATCTAAACTATTGACTCAGTCTTAGTCTAAACGATACTTCAGTCACGCGGGAGAAGTGTTCACACACAGACAACCGGGTCTTTCATTCGAGTTAGTCAGTTGTGGTCAGGTGTGTGTCAGCTTGGACCTGACGCTCGTCACTCAGCATTGCTGACAGATCTAGCCGTACCTGGTTCCAGGCTCTGCGTGACGTTATACTGGACTGTGATGAACATGATGGCGAACTTTGCTGTCACCTGCAATAAAACAAAATCGTATGAATACAATGCATACACAAACAAATAGCAAAAGCCACAATATTAACAGCACCACATCAAATATATGTGCCATTTTAGTACAAACTGCAGCAATATTAGTACAGAAACAGAGACTTGATTTTAAAGAAAGTTGTTATAGTTTAGATAGAATATAGTTTTTAAGGAAGTTTAAGTTGAGAGGAAGTTGAGAACATCTCTATGTTCATCTCATTTAACACTGATGACAGATATTATGGTGTGTATGAAGTATGATGCACATTTAACACTGATGACAGATGTTATGGTGTGTATGATAGACATTTAACACTGATAACAGATGTTATGGTGTGTATGATACACATTTAACACTGATTACAGATGTTATGGTGTGTATGACACACATTCAACACTGATTGATGTTGTGGTGTGTTTTATACATATTTAACACTGATGACAGATGTTATGGTGTGTGTGATACAAATTCAACACTGATTACAGATGTTATCGTGTGTATCATACAGATTCAACACTGATTACAGATGTTATGGTGTGTATGATACACATTTAACACTGATTACAGACGTTATGGTGTGTTTGATAGACATTTAACACTGATAACAGATGTTATGGTGTGCATTATACACATTTAACACTGATAACAGATGTTATGGTGTGTATGATACACATTTAACACTGATTACAGATGTTATGGTGTGTATGATACACATTTAACACTGATTACAGATGTTATGGTGTGTTTGATACACATTCAACACTGATTGATGTTGTGGTGTGTATTATACATATTTAACACTGATTACAGATGTTATGGTGTGTATGATACACATTTAACACTGATTACAGACGTTATGGTGTGTATGATACACATTTAACACTGATGACAGATGTTATGGTGTGTATGACACACATTCAACACTGATTGATGTTGTGGTGTGTTTTATACATATTTAACACTATGACAGATGTTATGGTGTGTGTGTGATACAAATTCAACACTGATTGCAGATGTTATCGTGTGTATCATACAGATTCAACACTGCTGACAGATGTTATGATGTGCATGATACACATTCAACACTGATTACAGATGTTATGGTGTGTATGATACACATTTAACACTGATTACAGACGTTATGGTGTGTTTGATACACATTCAACACTGATTGATGTTGTGTTGTGTATTATGCATATTTAACACTGATGACAGATGTTCTGGTGTGTATGATACATATTTAACACTGGGTACAGATGTTCTGGTTTGTATGATACAGATTCAACACTATTGACAGATGTTCTGGTGTGTGATACAGATTCAACACTGATGACAGATGTTCTAGTGTGTATGATACAGATTCAACACTGATGACAGATGTTGTGGTGTGTGTTTAGGAGTGAGCTCAGACCTCGAACATGAGTCCCAGCAGGACGACCATGGCCACACACGACACCATATCCGCGTGATTCTGGATGACAAACTCATGGCTCAGCACGGGCGGACTCTTGTTCTTCTTGCGGAAGCCCATTGCTCTTCTTCTGTCGCTGGAATACACACTCCTGATCACTGCAGACACTCGCTGAACAAGCAGATCGAGGCTAAATCCACACTATACAGTCATAAAAGCTCCACTACATTCACACCCGCACTCGCTGTTACCGGAAGCTGTGGAGTGTCCGACGAAGAGCGGAGAAGGTGTTGCTGTAAAAGTGTGCAACAAACATGTATTCTTTTCTTGAGGAATAGCAGTTGTACAATTTTGTTAGACTTATATATGACACTTTAACGGATGACGAGGAAAAACTGCGTTTAATGCCCTAATAAATTTGTAGGGTGATACACTTTTTCAGCTGCAGATGGATGTTGTGTTGAACTGTAAAGTAGGACTTTTATTTTGCCATTTAGCGGAAGTGCCTCTTGTTGATTCACACATGGCGTTCACGCAGAAATGCTGGATTTGTGACTGAGCGCTGTTGTTTTGGTATTATGAGTTTTATGTTTTGCTGTTTACGACATATCCATGTTTTACGCTAGTTTTGATTTTGGTGGTTATTTAATAATTAACATTATTTTGGAAACAGATTTTCTAGCTTACTCATACAGTGCCATACCTTAATATTGCATTAATGTAATGTCTTTTACATTCATTGAATTTAAGAACCTAAAGCTAAATCTTGAACTTTTTATTCATACTCATTGACATGTCACCTGATGTTAAATCTGCCATAAAGTAGTCCATATTTGCCCAACTGAATATATTTCTTGCCAAAGAGTCATCGATAATGAACTTTCTGTACATGCATACAATTGATTAGTTTTTATTACTTTAGTTATTAGTTAACTTTCTAGTGCTGACACAGTGATCTATTATGACGTTGACAAATGACAATATCTGTAATAGTTATTATCATTCATTGTAATGTGATTCCAGTCATATGTAACTATATCTACAGTAATGTTGTGTGTGATCAGTATTTTACACAGACATGGCAGGAACAGAGATGGACCCTGAAGTGGCCCGGGGCTTATTTGAAGAAGGAGCCACTCTTGTCTTACTCGGTGTTCCCGAGGGTACAGAGTTGGGGCTCGACTACAAAACCTGGACTTTGGGCCCCCGGTTCTGCGGGGTGAAGATGATTCCTCCCGGGCTCCACTTCCTCCACTACTGCTCCGTCAGCACGAGTGGAGCCTGTGGGGAAATCAGCCCCAAAACTGGCCTGTTCCTGTCCCTGAAACCCCGCGAGGTGCTTGTGGCCCACTGGAACCAGGCTGAAGATGACCTGGAGATCTCTCAGAGCCCGGAGGAGGTGGAGCGCGTACGGGCCAATCTCCGGGAGCTGGACGGGTATCTGGGCCCATATCCCTACGACACCCTCCGGAAGTGGGTTTCGCTGACGAACCGACTCAGTCAGGAGGTGGCCAGCGCTCTCCAGCCTCTCAGCGGGCGCGTGTGTGCCTTCAGCGACGTGATCCCAGAACTGCAGCTGACCCACACTAAAGACCGGGCCGAGCAGAACCTGCCCCGACTCCATCAGGAGTGCCAGAGCATGAAGGAGGGCCTGGAGCGGCTGCCCCGGATGAAGCACAGGGAAGGCACAGAGCTGAGGTTCTCCCACATCCCCAAACAGGCGTACCCTCCCGGGGCGACCCCGGCTCAGATCACACAGTATAGCATGGACTGGACCTACTCTCTCAACTGCGTGCTCGAGAGACATTATAAAGAGCAGCCGCTCGATGTGCTAGGTGAGCATTGGTTGCTGTTCAGTATACATCATGTTGTTTAACCTTCAGGAATGGCCATAAAGCCCATGACATCTCATTGTATTGAGGTCTTGTTGTCCTGTGATATAATGTGTTGGTTTTTTTTATTAGGGGTGTAACAATACTCTCATGTCACGATTCGATACATATCACAATACCGTATTATTGCGATCCTATGACATATGATAAAAGATTACATTTTTTTTTACTGTAGATTAAAATGGACTTGGTGCTGGAAACCCAAAGCACAGGACATGATAGACATCAGAATAACAATATTCATGATTTTGAAGCTGAAAATACAGTTATTTTATGCTTGCACTGCTTCACTGATTAGATATATTTTAAATACTGCTAACATCAGACATTTGGCCTTATCAAGACACACACACATTCCTCCATTGCATTATTATACATTATATTCAACATTATATATAGTAGTTTAATGTAGTAGTGACACTCTGTAAACTTGATTTTTTATTTTATTTTTATTTATGGTAAATTATAGACAATACATATTGTCACTATCCACGATATTGTTGCTTTTTTGTATTGCGATATATTGTGAGACAGTGTATTGTTACAGCCCTTATTAGTCTTTATTGATACTTGCACCATTTCTCCTTGTGCTGTGCTGAAAATCATTTTCCTAGTTTGGTCAAAAATAACCATCCTTTAAAATAGCTTGTAAATCTCTTGATTTATTACTGGTTTATTATTGCCAAATACTGGATTCAATCTTTTTGTCAACGTGTTTTCTTCCAATTAGCACAGGTTTTGTATTTCTATTAGGATCTGATTGATTGTAGGCCTCACTGATCTGAGCTCATGCACCTCAATAGTCAAGTCACCTTTATTTATATAGCACTTTTTACGACAGTGTTTCACTTATAGTGATAACAGGAAAAATGAATGCAGCAAAGTTTGCTTCCAGAAGAAAATACATTGACAAAGGTTGACATCTAAAAGATTGAATCCAATATTCGGCAATAAAAGAGAGATTTATAAGCATGTTTTTGTTGGTCGGTTATTTCGACTAGAGGTGTTTTTAGTCATAAATGACCCAATAACACAGATCTAAATCTATCATGCGGTGTCCAGGCGAGCTGCAGTTTGCGTTTGTGTGTTTCCTGCTTGGGAACGTGTACGAGGCGTTCGAGCACTGGAAGAGCCTGCTGGCTCTCCTGTGCCGCTGCGAGGAGGCCATGCGGGAGCGCCGGGACCTGTACCTCGGCCTCGTCGCTGTGCTCTACCACCAGCTGGGAGAAATCCCTCCAGACTTCTTTGTGGACATCGTGTCCCAGAACAACTTCCTCACCTCCACACTTCAGGTACGCTCCACATGAATCCTAGCTTTAACGACAGAAGTGGAATATGAGCATTCAGGTCATCTTGAGGGGGTTGGTATAATGCCCTTTTCACAAAAATGTCCCCAGAGTGCGTGTGTGAAGTTTTAGCTCAAAATACCCCACAAATATTTTTATATAGCATGTTAAAGTTGTCACTCTTTGAGGATTAGCAAAAACGCACCATTTTGTCTCTGGCCCTTTAAATGCAAATGAGCTTCATCTCCCGACACATTGGGCGGAGCTTCAATAGTGTGTTCAAGAGTGTAGCTCTCTGATTACCTCAGGCAGACACGCGCTAAAATGTCCTGCGTTTTATATTTAAATAAAAAATGAAAAAACAGTGTCAGACAAAGATGGAGAGACTAAGATGAAGTGACCTAAAGTTATCTAGACAATCCAGCGGCCATTTCTTACAAAATATCAATATGTATAGTTTTTACCCACAAAACTTCCCTTATTCCTCATCTGGGATCGTGTCTAGACTTTAAAGCTGCACTGAAACTCACATTTGGACCCTCAAACTGTTGAACCCCATTGGAGTCACTATATGGAGAAATATCCTGGAATTTTTTCTTTAAAAACCTTTATTTTTTTTCGAAATCTCTTTTTACTAAGTGAACATACACATACTGATTGTGCAGTACACAAAATTTTGAAGAAACCAAAGAATGTTTCACCACTGAAACAATTTTTTTATATCACCAAAATTGTTTAATTTTTCATAAATGTTTCCCAGGGGTTTGTGAGTTGATGGAAAACTAATAATTAGTACAAATATAAACATGTAAAATTGAAATAAATAAATAACTTCAAAATAAAAATCCTGCATACTACTCAAACATAAGCGGAAGGTTGTTTGACCAAAAACGTTTCTAATAACATTTCTTAATAATTATGCAAGTTTGTGTAAGAGTGCAGGAGTTTATATTGAACTCCGACGCACCCACGGATGTGTCACATATATATTTCAAATAAAATAAATCAACAAAGCAATATTATGTTTACTTTCACTTCATTACCGACATCAGAGAACCGTAAAGTTGTGAATGTTTAATTATTAATAATTGTTCAGTAAAAATGTTTTGAAATATTACTTTTAGGTCAAATGGGTTCAGATGACAAAAAAAAAAAAGTCTGTGAATGGCCGGTGTAGAGCTGGACGGGTTGGCTCTCGTTCATGATGCATTTGTACGGAAGCCCTGAACCGTAACATAAAAAAAAAAAAAATAAATAAAAAATCTAGCATTTCAAGATTAAAGTCGAAACGTTTCGAGATTAAAGTCTCCCTCTTCACCGTAAATATGGATACATTTTAAGTGCATTATTCTGTATCCAATCATTTGGCCGGACCCTGTGATTTCCTAAGATTTAACAACCACTAATGGTTGAGGAAAGACTCTCTGAAATGATTGTAAAGCGCTTTAAGTGTAGGCCTAGTAGACAAATGAAAGCGCTATATAAATACTCCGTTCATTCATTCATTCATTCATTCATTCATTCATTCATAAAGCTGGATTTCTCCATCCAGTCTGAAAAGTGTTTTCCGTGTTGGTTTTCCTATAGGCTAAAGTCTATTCCGGCGCAGTATATTTTATAACGTCCTATAATGGTAGCCTAATGCTGGTAGATTGGCACCTATTGAATTTCCTTTGATAAAACAAAAAACACACACACACACAGTGTGAAACTCGCTATTGGCCATTATGAATGCCTGTGTGTGCGGCAATGTGAGACAATGGCAAGCACACACGCGCAGCTTCTACGGAAGACTGGATTCTCGTACTCCCGTCTCTTGAGATATTTCAACTTTAATCTTGAAATGTTTTGCCTTTAATCTCGACATGTTTCGACTTTAATCTCGAAATGTTTTGACTTTAATCTCAATGTTAGATTTAAAAAAAAAATACAGATTTTTTTTTGTATTTTTTTTTTTTTTTTACAGATTTTTTATTTTTTTTGGTTACGGTTCAGGGCTTCCGTACGTTTGTCAAACAGTGTGTGCTTTTTAAAATAAGCGACTAATAATTGTGAATATTTTTTCCCGTATTTGGCCCTCCAGGACTTCTTCCAGTTCGCCAGCGGCCCCGGGGTCGACAGCACATTACGGAAGAGAGCTGAAAAATTTAAAGTCCATCTGACCAAAAAGTTCCGCTGGGACTTCGATGCGGATCCGGATGAATGTGCTCCGGTGGTGGTGGAGCTTCCCGAGGGACTCGCGCTGGACTGAGGCACTTCAACGCACACACACACGCACATTCTCTCATCACAGACTACAGTTTTCAGGATAGTCTCCTGTTCTTGTGAATTGCTTCTTCTTTGACCATTTAATTTTTATTAAAGCTGATTCTTTCACATTGTTGTTCTTGCTTTGGGTTGTATGTCCCTGAAGTTCTAAACGCCACAGGAAGCCACTGGAGGGCAGGCTAGCACACACGTGTTTGTCTTCTTGACCCAGAATCTTATATTTCCTGAAACGGGTGGTTTATAATTGTTGCTCCTTTTTGTATGTGGTCAATCTTGGTGCGTCTTTGCAATATCATCAGAACAAGAAATTGTTGCTCGCATGCTCACATGTACAGTAGACTAAAACGAACCCAGAACCTTAAGTATAAGTGTCAGCATGTAACCCGTCCCACGTGTTTGTGCTGTGGACATGAGTGACTCCTCAAATCACGTGATGTGAGAGATGTGATCGGATCATCCTGCTGGATGAAAAAAGCATGTGGGCAAAGAATGGAATATAGAAACATTTCAGGCCTAGAATTGAATGAATAGAATAGAATGGTGGCCGTTCTTTGAAACTATTGAGGATATAATGCAATATAGACTATTAATCATGTATGGACATTTTTCAATCACTTTCCCAGCAGTTGCCTTCTAATTTATGCTATCTGAAAAAAAAAAAAAAAAAAGAAATCTAAAATACAAAGCTTCAGTTTTACTATAGTTGGAAAATGCTGATTTTTTTTTTTTATTATTAGTTTCATAAGGCACTTTCCCTCCACGCCATATTTTCTTGGCATGAGTTTCAGGAAGTATGTATTTAATCCTTCACATTTATTTGAATCAGGTTTTCTGTTTGGTTAACGAGTCCCATCAGTAAGCATGAGGCGTTTCTCTTCATCACACACAGGGTTCGCCAAAGCAAACACACACCCTCAGTCTCCATCAGACCACTGACCATCACAATAAAAAGACCCTGATATCAATCCTGCACTACTATCGCCAGCAGATTCATATCACAGCACTGACATCGCTGTATGCTGTTTAAAGTAGGAATTACATTTACATTTATTTTGTAGATGCTTTTATCTAAAGCGACATACAGATTAGGATACAGCAAGAGATTCATTGTGAAATAACCACATATATTAGGGCTGTCAAATGATTAATCACGATTAATCGCATCCAAAATAAAAGTTTGTGTTTATATAATATATGTGGGTGCACTGTGTATAATTATTTTTTATATGTAAATACACACACATGCATGTATATTTAAGAAAAAAATATTATTTATATGTAAAATATTTATATTTACATATCATATAAATTATAAACCTATATACAGTATACATGAAAATATTTCTTAAATATATACAAGCATCTGTGTGTATTTATATATATATATATATATATATATATATAAAATAATTATACACAGTGCACCCACATATATTATGTAAACACAAACTTTTATTTTGGATGCGATTAATCGTTTGACAGCCCTACCACATATAAGTGATTATTTCACAATGAGGGCAAATAACTACTGTGAGTGCCCAAAATACAGTTTCAGACATTGCTCAGAGTAGCGTAGAATAAGGAGAGATTGGCATCGATTTTTTACGATGAGGTTTTAAAGAGATTGTTCACCCCAAAATATAAACTGTCAGTAATTACTCTCCCTCATGTTGTCCCAAACCCGTAAGACCTTCGTTCATCTTCAGAACACCAATTAAGATATTTTTGATTAAATCTGAGAGCTGGATCACTCCTCCATAGGCTTCTAAGGGATCGAAACCTGCCGGGCTCACTGTTGGCCGACGCTGGTCATGTGTGTGTGATGCGTGAGACGTACAGCACAGAAGCGCTGCGCTGTTACACTATGTGAACTCGCTCGAGGCCCACCGAGAAGGAAATTAATTTGAATAAAGTCGTTATTTTTGTTTGTTTTTTTGCGCACAAAAAGTATTCTCGTTGCTTGGTAAACTTAAGATTGAGCCACTGTAGTCACTTGGACAATTTTAACAATGTCTTTAATAACTTTTCTGGGCCGGCCAGGTTCGATCCCTTAGAAGCCTATGGAGGAGTGATCCAGCTCTCAGATTTAATCAAAAATATTTTAATTTGTGTCCCTAAGATGAACGAAAGTCTTAATTACTGACAGAATTTACATTTTGGGGTGAACTATCCCTTTAAGTGCTCCTGGAAGAAATGAGTTTGAACTGAAATAGTTGATTGATCAACTATGCAGTTCATCGGTGCCACACGGTTCAGGTCAGGTGTGTGCTCCAGGTTTTTTGGGTTAGTCAGATGATGTAGGTCCATTGGAATTTTATTGAAATTAGTGCCAAAAGTTTCAGTGATTTCAGTGCTGGATCAGTGCCTTTTCTACCCATATTTCTCAGTGCTGTCTCTTTTATATGGCACTGAGATTATAAAGATTAAATAGTCTCCTGGTTCTCAGATGCTTCAGTAACTATAATCTTGTCTCCAGTTTTTTTTTTTTTTTTTTTTTTTAAGATGCAATGAATGACATGAACCTAATACTTCTCGTACTATGCCATCCACATACGCACAAAAATAAACCATGGTTTTACCACAAATAAAGCCAAAAGCAAAAAAAAAAAACCACAAATGAAACATGGTTTTACTAAAATAACCATAGTTTAGCCATATTTTTTTGTAGTAAAACGGGTTATACAAAACATGGTTACTTTTTCTATAATAAAACCATGTTTGCTACACTTTACTATAATTCAAATCATATTAATTTGTATTAGCACTTTTCACAATACTCCTCGTTTCAAAGCAGCTTTACAGAAAATGCACAATAAACCCATGGTTAGCTTACTATACTTTTGCCATTAAAAATGTGTTCACTTGTTAGACAAGTACTCAGGTATTTGCAAACAAATGAGTTTTACTTGTTAATAACGTAATATTAAAAACATACGGCATATGAAGTTGGCTTAAATGTTATGTAGCACACTTTTGTCATGTTTATCGTTTAGTGCAGTTAGCCATTTTCTCTAAAACAATGATTTTTTTTTTCATGCTTTCATGAATTTTAAAGGGTTAGTTCACCCAAAAATGAAAATTCTGTCAGTATTTACTCACCCTCATGTTGTTCCAACCCCGTAAGACCTTTTTTAAGATATTAAGATCGCTTCTGCATACAGTCCATAGGCTTCTTGAGGGACTGGCTCTTGCTGTCCTCAAAAAGTCATTAAAGACATCGTTAAAATAGTCCAAGTGACTACAGGGGCTCAATCTTAAGTTTATCAAACGACGAGAACACTTTTGTGCGCAAAAAAACAACAAAAATAATGACTTTATTTCAACTATTCGTTTATTTCTCCCTCTGCGCGAGTCAGGTTACTAGTTTAATAGCGTAAGCTTCTGTTATTGTACGTCACACGCATCACACACACATGACCAGCGTCGGCCAATAGTGAGCCTACGTGTGACGTAGCTCTACGCAATCACACTACGTTAACTGACTTACAGGCTCATGGAGAAGGAAGTGAATAGTTGAAATAAAGTCGTTATTTTTGTTGTTTTTTTGCGCACAAAAGTGGTCTCGTCGTTTGATAAACTTAAGATTGAGCCCCTGTAGTCACTTGGACTATTTTAACGATGTCTTTAATGACTTTTCGGGGACAGCAAGAGCCAGTACCTCAAGAAGCCTATGGACTGTATGCAGGAGCGATCTTAATATCTTAAATATCTTAATTTGTGTTCCGAAGATGAACGAAGGTCTTACGGGGTTGAAACAACATGAGGGTGAGTAAATACTGACAGAATTTTCATTTTTGGGTGAACTAACCCTTTAAGACTTCATGATGTTTAGTTTGTGTCTCCCTTTACTGATTTTAAACTTCATAGTTACTATTGCTAGATTACAATTACTGGCATAAATAACAAGTGTAATCAAAAATGACAATAATTGGATTCCTAGTGCTGCATTGTAATGCAATTGTTTGTGACTTTGTATTGCCAAAAAATGTCAAATTGTAATTTTATATTTATATTACCGACCAAATAAGCATTGATCCTGCCAGTCACTTGTAAACCAGAGTGTCACCGCTGACTCAGGTACGCTTTTAAAAGGGTTATTTTTGAATCATGGCTTGCGTTGTGAGTGCCAGTAATTCAGTCATGTGTCAGTCATGTGTCAGCAGTCTTTAGTCTGATCTGCCTCTTTCAGACTTTAAGAAATAGAAAAGTTGGCGCATGCAGAGCTCAGCTCGTGCTTGAACGCCTCTGCCCCTCATTTCCCACAATCCCTGTGACTATAATAGACGGGTGGGGTTTAATGGCTGTTTTTTTCTATAGCCTTGCCCCTCCGCCCCAGAAACTAGTGCCAGCTGCATGCCTTCCTGATATAAACCTATAAAAAGGTTGATGGCTGTCTGGATTATTCATTAAGCGGTGTTTCCCCTCCAAAATACATAAAAACACACCATACATTGGGAAGTGGAGCTTGAGCATGATTTGCGTTTGGTGTGCCACATCTAAACATGATGTCTTTAGCAGTGCTGTTGTGCCGGACCTTCACGTGTGTGTGTGTGTGGACATATGCAGGATTTGACCGCTGGATTCAGGAACATTTGCTTTTCACTTGTTTTCAAATGCACCATTTTTATAGTAAGGACGTAATGAAGACCGGAGGGCAGTTTACATAGCCTAATGTTTATATGAATAATTGACAGATTTTGCAGGATTCATACCATTAATCTTAGGAAAATATTCCTGCTTGATCAGAGCTGAAGGGATGCTTCTCATATTAGGGAAAGTTGAATCCGTAATATCCTGTGTCAGACCAGTCCGAGTCCGCATTAAAGTCACCGTCAAATCAAAATGGACAATCCTTATTTTCATGGAATATTCCAATGTTTACTATATAAATTATTTTGCACATCATTATTATTTAAATTCATGTGCCCTTGTAATCTTTAATCAAAATAGCATACTTTTTTTTGTCTTGTATGCAATGAAATTGAACAAGCTCAGTGTCAATTGATTGTCCACCAGTTCTTCTAATGGATTTGAATGTGTGCAAAGGATTGTGGGTGATTGGGGGATGCGAAAGATGCACTTGACACGTCCTTTAAAACATGGACTTAAAGGAGT